CTATGTGCCGTAGTTAATGCCAGTAAGGTTAATGTCTTTTTAGTCAATTGCTCTAACGTTAGGTCCTCATTTGGGAACCATTGGCTTATCTGATCTAAAACGCAATTCGTATCCCATGTAAAGTTATACTTTGGAAGGGGTGGTTGAAGACGAAACACACCCTTAAGAATCTCTGAACTCTGTCATCTTTACCTATGTGTGATCCTAATAAAAAAGATAAGGCAGATCTGCATGAATTCAATGTACCTAATTGACCACCATCGTTAAACAACACAGTAAGGAAGTAAATAACGGTAGGGACTGAAGCTGTAAATACGTCAATGGAATTATTATTGCAAAAGGTCCACGATTTTATTATTTTTTTTTTTTTTTTTTTTTAAATATACGTCATATTGACTGAGTGAATTAGGGATAATGAGGCTAACATTATATCCAAGGAGGAAGTTGGTAAGCTCCTTGATAAGGCGTTCCTGGTAAGGTTGCTGCCACCAGGGTAATCGATTCGTGAATCCATCGGGAATGTATTCAGTAGCGACGTCGTCCCTGTGTTTGAGACGGTGGCGGGCGGCGGTGGTGGTGGCGGCAGCGGTTGCGGCCGCGGCCACTACCTTGGGGAGGTAATCTGCGCGGGAATACAGGCTCGCGACTCCTCTGCGATGGGCCTGGTTGCCTGTACGCCGGCCCGGGAGCTTTCCCGTTTAACTGATTCTGATTAGATATTTTTTGCCGTTTACTTATATTTTTTGTAGAAGGGTCAGCCTTTAATTCGATTCCAGACTTGTTTATTGATTTTGCTGTCATAAGAGTTTCAGTCTATGTTTCGCCGAATAAAAATGAATCGATCTTTTTTAATGAAAACATTATAAAGTTTCTTCTAGTAACTGAATCGCTATGTTGAATATCGCACAGTAAACGACTGCGGTCCATTAGCTAAAGCAGTTATTCTTTATCCTTTTCCTTAGAGTTAAGATGAGTAATAATTATTTCTCCAAGACAAGCAATAGCACTGGCCACTGGCGTTTGTTTACCCTCTATGCCTTTGTCCCTCTTAAGAGTATTTTCAAGTATGGCAGCCTTGATTTCAGGGTTAAGTTTTGGAGCACTAATAAGAGAGCAATTAGCAGCAATTGGGTACTTCGCTATCAGCTCCTTACGGATATCCTTATTAAGCCCCTCTATGGTAATATGAGTTAGTCGACAAGCGAGTCATGTGGTTATACCGAGCTTCTCTAAGTGCGAAGGATCTTCGCCGAGAATTTCAAGGACATCGGTGTCCAGATCATTTTCGTTATGGACCCCTTCTTGGGGCCGTAACTTTGACTCGACAGGTGGTTCGTTAAAGGTCGTCGCGTCGACACAGTCATCCTCAGTGTATAGTATAAGTTTTGAATGTCACTGATACCAATCATGGATTGTGGATCATCGTCATAATGAGGTTGTTCTAATAACCAATCACTCGGCACCATAGGTGGGGTGGCAAAAAGATAAGAAATTCGTTTGAGATTTTCATTCATATTATGACTATGACGATCATAGTCATCCATAAAAGTATGCGACGAATCAACCCCAACGGCAGTTCAGGTGCATACTTTTTGTTTTAACGTAAATACGTTATAGTCTGATAGGTACGATATGTACAATAGCAGTTTTAGATAACGATAGTTATCTTGTCAAAGTTAGGTAGATCCCCAATGGATTGAACGCTAACTGATTTATTGAATGCGTTGAATAAGCCCCAATGACTTTTCTGATTGCATTCCGTACCAATAAATTCGGGCACATGTCACTAACTGAACTTTCCTTATCACATATTTTTTGTTCTAATTTACGCATTTTCTTTTGAGGATGTTTTAACTCTTCTTCACATGTTCTAACTTTCGTACGTTTCGGCATTTTAACGATCTGTTATACACGTTATTGGGAATACGACCGGAGCAGTCGGGCACTATAAAGCGAATGAAGATGGCAGGGAACGGTATCGACTAAGAAGATGAGAACTACCCTCGTAATAATAAAAAAAAAAAAAAAAAAGCAAATGCAAAGAAATCTCAACTATAGTGCCGGAGTAGTGACACATATGCGATACTACTAGTAATATAATCTAATCAAATAAATACTAATCTCGAGAACGAGGCGCGAAGTATAATTAGTCATTGAAATAATATATTTTTAATTCGGTACAAATATCATTTGAGCTGTATCATGGTCTGATAGACAAAGTCGTAGAACTTTACCATTACCATTCTTTATATTGCTTATGACATGATCGACGCATGAATTTAATCGAGTAGGTTTATATATTTTTATAGTGAAAATTGATAATATATGATTCACTTTGTTTGTAGCCGTAGGCTATGTGGAACACTCACATTATTTAAAATAGTTTTATTATGCATGAATCCAAAGTGTCTTCATGTCCCAAACACCGCAGTGTCTCAAGACAAAGGTTTTTAACAAATATTTATGTGTGTTGTCAGTGATGAATGAATGAATAATTCTTTATTGTATACGAGTGTATTGATGACGTGTGGTCGTGGTTGCTAAAAAGGGCAATTCTCAGAGTGTCTGTGCAAGATTAAATCAAGAATGAGAGATTCGCAGACGAACCAAGTTGGCAGACATAGTTAAAATAATTGCAAGCCTGAAGTGGCAATGCACTGTTCTCATAGCTCGTAGGATTGAAGGGCATTGAGGCAATAATGTCCTAGAGTGGCGACCACTTACCAAAAACGAGGCAGGCTTTCCTCAAAATAGACCGACGGGGAGTATAGGATGAGGACCGTGCGCGACGTAGCGTCGTATTTTTGGGGAAGGCCTTTGTCCATCAGTGGACGATATTCGGCTGATATGATGATGATATATGGTGACTAAGTCATTAAAAGTCGTGTGTTTATAATAGATACGCCACCAGGGTTGTGATCGTCTCTATAGCTAACATGAACTTTTAAATATTTCACTTATATGTTGCTTTATGTTTACATGGTCATCAGAATGTTTTCTAAAAACGGGATTGCTACCATTGCCTTGTTTGTTCCCAATATTTCGGTGCTGGTATTAATTAGCGCCATGATCACGGGGTAACTGAAGTTTATGCGGGTGGGTGTCATAAGCAATATATCTGCTTATTTGCGATCAACCTTCTTTCGAGTTTTTTTTATATCGAGTTACGTTTGCCTTAATTCTACTTATATATCCAATTCATTTTATTTTAATTTGGTTTTATTTCATAGTTGTAAAAACAAAACCATTTATTTAATATATTTGAAACAATAATATTGTACGTAGGTAAGTAATAGTACTTGTCTCAACTTTAATTCAAAGAATGTTACACTAGCGTTATTATTGGAAAAGTAATATTACGGACCATGTGAAGTGTCGCGGGAAACTTCTTTAGTATTTTAAGTTTTAAAATACTCATATCGTAGGTCACTAGTAGATTCCTACCGCATAGTAGGGGCTCTAATACTTTTATCTGTTTACCAAATAATAGTCGATATAACGACGCCCGATTGAAAGGTTGAAAACAAAGAAACAGTTTCCCATTCAAAATAATTAATGTATTAAGTTACTAATTGTTTTTCAAAGTATAGTATAGACAACTGATGAAGGTATGAATGATTGTTAAATACGGGATTGGTACTATGTTTCTTATATTTCTCGAGTTCTCGAGTATTTCAGCACTATTGCAAGCGTCATGATCACGAAATAACTGAAGTTTTTGACGGTGGATCTTATTGGCAGATATATCTTCTACCTACTTTCGATCTAAATTTTTTGGGGTTCTTTTACGTTCGATACTGATATAAAGTACATGGTAGTTGGTCACTACATTGAGTCGATACATATCAATCGTGCCTAAATCCACCACAGTCGTTATAAAATAAAAACCGGACTATTTAAAAATGGAAGAGTTGTTTTACTTTTTTCCCTTAGTGTTGCCCATTGATTTACGAAAATTTTGCCAATATTGCACTCTACTAGATAAATTCAGACAGCAGCAAGCACTATAGTTTCCATAAAAGTTAGGTGTGACTTAGGCACGTTTGATTCGTATCAATTCGATTATAATCACTACACATTTGTTGTTTGTAATATTTATTGTATAGTATAAATATTTATCATAATTATTAATCCAAAAATCTATGTTAAGGTAAAGTTTCTAACTCTGTTTGTTTGTAGGGGGTAATATGATTATGAAAATTCTTTTACCTACGGAAAGCTACATCATACGCGGGTATGTTGAAGCCCTGCTATTAATTAATTATTAAACATCAGTATTGGTATTAATCAATGATTATCATTGCATTAAGGTGCTCGTCCAATGCCTCGGCATTCTCGAATCGGCCTCACGATATTTATCATAACACGCAACGCATTGCACTGATTTGTCGATGTTGTAAGTGCATTGTTGTCGCATTTTTATAGAAAATACAAATGTCAGTTTTGACGTCGGAAATATGCTGAAGACGTCATAGGAGTTTTTAAAAGAATCCGTAAGAAGCATGTTGTGCGATGCACACGTGCTGAGCACTTAGTGTAAGTTTTTTTGACGTTTACGTTCATTGTCAATCGTGAGCGCGTTAAGATTTAAGTATGGAATCCGGTACAGCGCCCCTAGCGGTAACTACCAAGAACTACAAATCTCCATACAAATTCTTAACGCGCCCACTTATAGTGAACGCGTTAGCGTAAAATTTACACTTACCACTCAGATATATGGACGTTCACCTTTAAGGGGAAATCACAATTTTATTCTCACATTGCCTCTATCGAGATCGTGATCGGGATCTTTGTTTGATCGATGTAATTTTCGCAAGAGCGGTCGAAGGGTATGTGACTAAAAATTTATTATCTTGGTTTTTTGTTCACAAGGCTCGTTAAATTGGCTTGGCGGCATTTGCAAGCGGTAATATCTATCAATCTGCACCGCGTGATGGGTCATCACAAGGAAGGTCTGTTGCTTTGCAGTGGAGAAATTAATAGGATTATTAATGATAATTTACTTTATCCAAAAATCCAGGTGTGGCTTCTGGGTGATTAAATGAAAAACCATTGTCAAAAACACTGAATGCTATATTAAATATTCTAGAAACAACATTTATGTGTTCTAATATTTTTCAATTGTAGATTTAAATTATTATCTTTACATTAGGTCTCTTAAAACAAATGTAGGTACTTATAACAAATATTTTAACCTAAGCAGTGGTTTCGTCTTAAAGTTCAAATGTTCTTCCACACGTTTTGTATGAAATTGAAATATTTCAAATAACAATAAACTTATGATGTGATATGTGTAACATGTATATGATTAAAAACATATTATGTTCTTGAGAATTATAATTAAAAATGAAATAATTAATAACTACATGTTTTTAAATAGTAAATATAACTTTTACACTGTAATTAAAGCTAACATTGAATTTAAAGCTTTATATCGACTTATTACGATACATAAAAACTCCAAAATAATTCTAACTATTTATTTTATTTTGAATATAACTATTCACAAGACAATGTTAATGTCAGTTGTGAATTTAATGTTCATAATAAATCTCATAGAGTTTTAATAGTTATAATTTATTAATTAATAATCAACCATAATCTATATAATGCAATCAATAAATTATTTAAAAGTATTCAAGTAAATATATGTGGTACTCTCATAGAATAGTTTTATATAAGTTAATCAACTTTATCTTTTTTTGAAAATTAGAAAATGTGTTAATGTTTTTGTTCCCCAAAAACAATAATATTATTCAATATACTATATTTAGAAACTATTGATTTTATATACGAAGATTTAAATAATCAATGCAATGGATAGTGACCAATTACTGTCCTTATTTAAAAAGAAAGATTTACTAGAAGCGTTCGAAACATTGGACAATAACCTAAATCAGAAACACAGTGATATAAGCAACACTAATATCAATAATTAATTATATAAAACACTAATTAATACTTAAATATAGCGGACGTGGATTATCTAGCAAATGGACCTCCGTAACTTGTAGTATTGTCCATAATTGTGCATATTTTTTATTTAAATTTACATTACGTATGTATATCACAAAATAAAGTCAGCTTGTAGCTTTGAAATCAATCATATTGACCATTTAATTAATATCTATCTACACAAGCTTTCACCATGTTAAAGAATGAAACGTTGGTCTTACACAAAATAACAAATTTTATATTTATATATATATAATACCTATAATAATATGTTGAAAATGCTACAGTTAATAGAAAAACATCAAGTATGCTAATAGTACTCTTAATGTATATGAAAACACTTATTTTTCTACAGTGTATTTCTGTTAATAATTTTCGATCTATAATTATGTTGTAAATACCACAATATATTTTTAATTATCAATCGATTTCAGCGTCTAATTGCCTTTATTGTTCCATCTGACTAATATCTTTTTACCTTCTTTTAATTTCGTTTTTCTAATATTAACATTATCACAGGCTTACGCTGAAACCCCGGGGGTTATAATTCATCGCACCTTGGTTTCACTGATATCTTTTAGGAAGATCACAATTCGATCTTCAGAACTATCCATTTCAATTTCGATCACATTCTTAGAATACTTAAAGATTAGATGCACTCCTATACATTAAATTTGAATATCATTTAAAAGTCCCGTTAATCATTTTAATTTACTTAATTTCTTTCGAAACTTAGTAAATTTAAGATTTAACATTTACTTTCGAAGCACACGTGAATAACGCTAGTATGGTTTTGGGGAAAGAATTTGGGGGTTTCGCAGGGCGCAATATTAGGCCCGATTCGTTTCCAAATAGGCAAGTACGTTTTACCCGAGTTTATGTGATTAAAGGATGTCGGGCGGTGGTCACCTAGCAGTCGTGCGGCCACCGCGACGGGTGGCCGGCCACGGATCACATGACGCAGCAACTCTTCGCTCTCCCCTTTAGCTCAGCTTTCAAGTCTCGCTTACTTTTGCTACGTCCCACTTGCTTCTGGAACAAAACAAAACGTTATATTCATCTATATGCTCTATTTATAAATCTATAACGTGGACCAATAATAAAATAACTAAACCTTATAATTACAGTTTTTTAGCTCGGACTCCATAATTTTATAGCAAGAGGACAAAGTTTTTCGTGTTTATAGTTTTTAAAAATAATAATACCTGCTGTTTGTTTAGTTTTCCCAGTGCCGCCAGTGCTGCCACTTCGAAGGCATCTTTAACACCTTTGCTTGATGCTCTAGCTGAGGTCTCTACGTAGGTTGTCGCACCAAGTTGTCTTGCAACAGTTAATGCCTGTAAAACGATTTTATTATTGACAATTTGATTAATTGAATTAATTTAATGAAAATACGAGTTGTATAGGTATTCAAATGGAACCCATTGTACAACGCATCATTTACAAATGAACCATTGGTCATTTATTGGTCTTAAAAGACATGAAAAAAGCTAAGATACCTATGTGATTTTTACAATATTCAACGAACTTATATTTCAGAACGATTAATTGAGAACTAAACCAAAACGGAAGGGGTTTTGAGTTATTTTCTCTTGCTCATTCATGAAATTCAAATAGCAAAGCAATTTCACAAAATATGTTCTTTGCCAAGCGCTGAATACTGAACTCGTCAGCTGCTACTGAAAGAATCCAATTAGTCGGTTATGTACTGCGAATTCGGAATATTTATGGGTATTCGGAATAGTATATGTCTGCAAAATTGTTTGAGTAGCATTGTTTTTGTAGTATAAACTCTTTTTAAACATGTTTTTGAACAATTGGAAAGGGATCCTATACTATCTTTTCTTACTTTTTCAATTAATATTTATTTAATTAATATGATTTTACGATTAGTAACACGAGGCTCGTTCTCGGGGAAAGATCCAGCACCACCTTAGTCTTATGTGAATACAGAATCTATAAGGGGTCCGAAAAGTCAATAAAACTAAATACAAAAGCGATGAAACCGTTTATAAGTTGTTTCATTTATATAGATAGTGTTCGTAAAAATATAAGGATGGCGTAATATAGGAATGGCATAGTCTTTGTAAATATTTTTACTTCAGTTACAGCTGGTGAGTTTCTTTCGCTACTTCTTCTTATCAGTCAAAAGACGTCTTGGGGTGCGACTTCTCAACTCTCTAGCCATGGCTAGCCGTAAGATATGATATCTTAGCGATGTTATGGCTTTGTTAATTATGGTTATGACTCATAAATTACTTAAGTATTTATGGTCATTAAATTACTCTTAAAAAGATTTTTTTTAACATTGTTTTCTGTTTAGCCATTAATTCATAACAACAGTTACAGATTTGCCTATAAAAGTTTAAACATTCAATGTAGATATTTTATTCGATTGTAATATTACAATGTAAGAATTTAGCTATATCCTTGCACAGTAGTATTAAATAAGTTAAAAGATTTTCTATGACATATTCTTTTCGATAATAATTTTATGGCAGATAAATTGAAAAAAAAAACTAAGATTATCCCGTGAGAAGTGTGATTTCTCCATTCACAAAATCATAAGCTCCTAAATGTTGGTCTACTTGGTTCCAATTGATATGACCTTTTCAATTGTTGGAAGCGAGTATAGTAGAGCGTCTAAATAATCTTATAAATACTTCTCAATGAAATGACCGATTTCGTATATCAAAAGTCAAGACTCAAATAAAATATCTATTGTGTAATAATAAGATCAATATTTTAAATTATCATACTTTTATTCATAATTTTAAGTTTATCTGCACAATATAACAACTGAAGTGAGTTTAGAGTTCATACTCTCATAGTTTTCTATATATTATATAACAAATAAGACCGCTTGGACTTGAGATGATCCAGCAACTGGATAGGTGATTACTTCTAAACTCATTTCTCTTATTAGAGCTGGTGAGTTTCTTGTTCGTTCTTCTTATCAGCCAAAAGACTTCCTGAACGAGTGGTAGGGAAAAAAATGTTGGACGATTCAAAAGTACTTTTAAGAAGTCTATTTGAATAAAGATTATTTTGACTTTGACTTTGGACATGTTACAGTTGTGCACCAAATGATAATAAAACTTTAATTAGAGCTTAAAACTATTTAGTGTAAGACAAATTTTCTTCCGTATTGTAAGCAGCACGTGTACAGAAAATAACTTTTTCCATATGATCTTATCTCCAAGTTCCCTGGTTGCTTTTAAGCCTTATTGTTATATTGTTAAATAAACGTTAAAAAAAGCGATCGTGGAAAATATGTTTCTATGCGGTAAGTGTTGTTAAGTTTCTCATTGATTAATTAAACCAGAAGTCTTTCTTATTTTTCATTAAATAATTAAAGCTTTGCATAAACTCGCTACTTCATATACTTTGTTTTGAATTTGTAAATGTTTTCAGTATGTCAATTTTGTGTGTTCACCGTTTCTCTTACCTCTTCGCTGGTGACAGGATGCATTTTGAGCTTCGAAAGCATTGTGACTGTTTCTTTTTCATGTCTGAGATCAGCCTTGCAGCCGCAGAGTACTACCGGAGCTGACCCGCCATGAGTACGAACCTCTTTGTACCACTGTTAATAAAAAATACCAATTACTATATGTAATGAGCAGTGGTAGGAATTAGGTAGAGTTATTCATGTACTTACACTGATTTCATACAGCGAAAGAATAAAGTGGATATGCCTCAAATCCCGAGATTAATTTTAAAGAGCCAAAAATCCCGTGATTTTTTAAATAAAAAGTTATTTACTTTTACACAATTTAAACTACTGCACACACGACGTTGCCAAACTTACATCAATGAAAGAAAGAAGAAATAAAGAAATCCCGGGAAGGTCCACATTAATATCAACATTTCGATGCAAGTACATAAATAACTCTACCTAATTCCGACCTCTGGTAATGAGTTTTGTATATCCTTCCATTTTGACCAACTAAATTGACCAACTGGTGTGCCTTAATCTCTAGTCATGATTCTAGCTATAGGATTTGACATCTTATCCACGTTATGGCGATTTCCAGTTTAATTTTACTACTTTTACATATACTCCAGTAACTACGAACTAACGATTAAAAATGAAGAGTATGGATTTGATAGCAACGTTACAAACGTAGTCATATATCCCAAATTTATCCACCAAACGACATTTCAAATTAATTACATGCAACGTAATATCGTCATGTCATATGGCTAGAATCAAGATTAGAGAGCTAGGCGGTCGCTTTGCAGAATTTAAATGACAATGCTATATTGATTTTATAACGATTTTTCTTAAGATCAGTCAACTTAGAGGAGCCAATTTAAATGAAAATTTTAATGAAAGTCGCCAGTGCCACCTATCGCCACAAGTGTTGCTATCGCAATTACTACATCTTACTTATTTTAAGTTAGTTGAGACTTTGTAAGATACTATAATATAAATATAGGGTCCTGTTATTGCCAAAGTTTTTGAAATTTAATTGATTGCATATTGACTATTTTTCACTCTGATAGAATTTCTGGCAACTTCGATAAGTTGATACCAAAAAGAACTCAGGGGATCAATCGTACTACTGTTCTTAGACATATTTTTATCGTCGCGCAACGACTAATAAGCTTCAATTACCCAGGATTAAGAGATCTGTGCGTTTATTCTTTGCAAATATAGACACTGTAATATTCTCTGTAATAAAAAATTGTTAGATACCTTTACAGCGGCATTGTGCAATGATTCTGGTTCGGCTACATTGAAGCATAGCATGAAGATCCTGGCATCTTGGTAGGCCAGAGGTCTAACCGTGTCGTATGCAGTGGTTCCTAAAAACAAAAAAAAAGGTTTCTTAGGTTTTTACTTAACGAGCCTAATTCGGGCTTGAGATGCCTTCCGAATTATTAAAAAGATTAGGGCAGTGTATTTCTGATCAATCTGGCTGCCAGTTCTTGTTATAGTTGTTTATTCTCTGTAATCGCGAAGCAAATGTGAAAACTTGCAGAAGATAAATTTTGTTTGTACTGTTGGCCAATGCCCCTTCGGATTCGTTTACCTTATAAATAGCGACCTCCTTCAATTGGGAGCGCTTCCTGGTACTGAAAGGTAAATAAATATATCGTGCTATGCATAAAAGTAAACTAATATTTGTTTATTGTTGCCTAGCCAGAATGAGTTACGACTTTATTTTTAATTTCTGGTGTTATTTTGACAAACCCTCGGTTTATTACGGTTACTATTTGTCCTCTTAAAAAAAGATTTATATAATAACAATATAATATTTTTTTCATTATAGTAATTAAGATTTATTAAATACCAATGTTTGCGATAAACTTGATTGTTATAGTTTATAACAAAAGAAAATAATACAAAAAAGTAAACTGCCGAAACCCGGGATTGAACCGGGGACCTTTAGATCTTCAGTCTAACGCTCTCCCAACTGAGCTATTTCGGCTGTGTAAAACGTGCTGAAATTTGAAAACAGCATGTGTTGAATTATTTTACTGTACTGGCAGAGATAAAAATTCTGTTAAAATTTGAAGTTTATTATCTAATCTTGTATGAATATTTTTTTATCGATCTTTTATTAATAAAAACTACCGAACGACAAATAGATAGATATCTGCTTAAATATCGACAAATTCTTTAAAAAAAATTGTTTTAAACATAATAAATACTTTTTACATTAATAGTCTGTAATATTTTTATTATTATGATTAATGAGATTAAAATAAAGTACGTTGATATAATTATGATATGATAATATATAATGTATGCAGTTGAGTTCGTGACAAAAATGTATAAGAGTTTTAAACGGTAGTTAGGTATATTTTTTGTTTTGCAGTGTAAGTAGTGGTTATGGAACGTAACAAAACTACCATCAAATCAGACCAACTCGATAACGATCAGATTTGTGTGGAAACAGAAATGTGTTGTTTTATTTACCTAGTTTCCTCTTAATTTTTCCATATTTTATACTCTATAATACTCTCCCTCGGATTACAATTTAACTAAAGAATATATATTTTCGAATATTATATTATTCGATTAGCAACTGTTAGTGATTAAATTTTAATCAGTTAGATAATGCTGTGTATTTCGCTTAATAATTATAATTTAATAATTTATTTTATTTTCAAGTAAGAACAATTCACTTTGTTAGTAGACACATTGAATATTTGATATTAATAATGTTAATATATTAAATAATGTTATTTAAATATTGTTAATAATGTTAGAGTAGCTCGGTGGCGTAGTGGATAAGGTCGGCCACCGGATGGGTGACCAAACAATTATTATCTCGAGTTACTCCGTGCTTCGGAAGGCACGTTAAGCCGTTGGTCGTTAATACCCTCCAATCCGCATTGGGCTAGCGTGGAGGGTCATGGCCCATCCTCCTTAACTATACATAAGGAAGGCCTGCGCCCCTGCAGTGGAGACGTAAAAGGGCTGGAGATGAGATGAATGTTAATTTAAGTCATTTATATGTGTCTATTTCTAATAATAAAATTACAATTATGTAGGTACCTGTTATTCTTCTTATATAGAAATCTATTAATAACTCTTTCATTTAAAAATTTATGGTAAGAAAGAAATACTTGTTAAGAATAATGCTTTGTTCTAGGAAAAGCTCAAAGAAGATTCAAATCAGTTTTATAATATGCAGTCTAGACTTGAATGTGAATAGAGTAAGAACATGCTTGTCTAGATAGTGCCTTCCATGAATAAATTTATATGGAATGGCAGATTATAATGATATCCTTAGGTTACGGGAATCTCAGTTATGAATATTATATTATGTTTTCTTACTGTGATTATAATAAATTCGAAATAAAAAATCATTTCTACACTTCTTTTGTACAAAAAGCTTCAAAAATTTTGTTCGAAGTATATCAATTTTGCTTAGCCGAGCCATAATGCAACTTGATACTTTTATTTTTAGCTCGATCCTGGCAGGGGAGTTTTTTTTAAATTTATTTTTATTTTATTAATTTTCGTGACTAGTAAATATATAATTGTAAAATTTAAATTTTAGTATTTTTTATTTTGTTACAAATATTCCGCATACAATTTATGACTTTTTTAAACATTGCGTACAGTCTAATACAATATTTTGAAGAAATGAAGGCAGATTTCCAAAAAAATAAAGATGCACGTATTGTTCGTAAGCTGCAAATTTTAACTTTTTGCCTCAACAAATTTCCACCCACCATTTTAGTGAGGCGGGGGAATAGAAAGAGACAAAAAGTAGCTTTTGTCACTTTCCAGCCCTTCAACTATCTCCTCATAAAAAAATCACACTAACACGTTGCCCTGTTTTGACTTCACTTTTATAATATCAAGTCTTTACATATGAAACTGGCGTTTTGTCGTACTGGCCACTTTAATCACAAATTTCTCCTCCTTGGTTGGGAATTCCAAATTCAAATTTATACAGCATATACATGTATTTATGTTTCGGTAGGCGGCATTCATTTGTTTTTTTTCTGTTTGTTCTATTTACATCATCCAGTATAAAAAATGGAAAACTTGAAATATCGTGTTATTTACGAGTACGAGTTCCACCGTAGTACCAGAGCTGCGGAAACGGCTCGAAGGGTTAATGATGTGTATGGCGGTTGTGTTGCAATAAAAAACATAGTGCGTTTTGGTCCCAACGTTTTCGTTCTGGAAATTTTGACCTGCAGAACAAGGCCGGTGGACGGTCGGAGACCCAAGATAATAATGAAGAATGGATTCTCTACGATAATCGGAAGCGCTCATCGCAATAGTTGAACCCTGGCATGCCAGCCAGCAGCGGCATGCTCCATCAGATTACCATTTTTTTCGAAATTTGGATAACTTCTTGCAAGGGAAGAAATTCAACTCCGATAGAGCAGTGCAAATCTCCTTCAAAGATTTTATTGATTCCCGTGCGAATGGTTTTTTTAGTAAGGGGATCAAAGACCTATGAGATGGCAAAAGTAAGATAACAATGGTTTATACTTTGATATAATAAAAATATTATATTGAAAAATATTCGACTTTTTGTCCTCCCATACCAAACACCAATTTCATATGTTAGGCCCTAATATTAGTATGGATGGATTAGTTTTGTCACATCGAATTATGTTTTGATATTTGTTATCTACTCTCTGCTATATCATGTGACAAAACTTGACGAATCCAAAATAAAAATCGCAACAACTCACCAAAGCTCACAACAAACAAATAGAGAGCATCGAACAAAACCAACCGTATGTTGACCGAAACCGAAATTAAACTTTCGATTTTGAAAAGCGACAATTTATAGCTCCAGAAACATGTTCAGACGGAAATCTTACAGAAAATATTCTACATTTTTATAAGTAACATTTAGTTGATATTAATATATGTATATATTACCATAAATAACATTATTTCATTATATTGCTATGAAATAGTATCTATTAGTTATTCATATATTAATAGGAAGCATTGTGGGGCAATAACAACATCAGGCTATTCCCGTAGATTTGTTTAGTTGAAGTCATTGAACCGACAGTTTATGTTGGTTAGAGTTTAATATAACATAGGCGAGAATTTTGTACCATATAAAATATTTTTAGGTTACAGTTCTCCGTTACCTCTCTTATAGAAATAAAATGTATGAAAACATCAATATGTTTTTATAAAATAATCGATACCTACACAGAAAACAAATAAATAAAAACTCATACCATAACATGTGCATTACAATAAGATGATTTAGTGTTGCGTAAATTATCTTTTCTAATTGAAGCAGCGAGCGCGAGCCTTCTGTCAGACCTAGATCATGACGGCTTTAATAAACAACCCTTAGTTGTTTATGTTAACTCATAATAACAATGATGGGTAGGTACAGTCCAAACGTCACAAGTCGCTTCATTAGATTTCATTAAATCTGACTTTGGCATAGCACCAACTCTGATATTCATGCAATGTTACAATTAGACGTTTTAATATTAGTTCATCGATAGCTTTTATATTTTTAAAATTGCTGTAGAAACATTAGTCATAACCACCAGCTTCGTTGCTTCCAGCAAGGGTCTGCATTATGTTTGTAACCATAGCTTATTTCGAATTCAGTCCTAATTTTTTAATTAACTTTTTTTTATAGAGTATGTACGAATAGGTTACTTGTAAAAAGGTTGGTGACGTCTACAAAAGGCAAAGGAGAATAGATTGCCGTTTAAAAAACAGTAGTTGGGCTAGTTTATATTCAAACTCGTAAAAGGAACAAGTAGGCTCTTATTCCTAACAAAAGCAAAATTAACTATATACAAGTGGTTTATTTTGTCCTCACAGTATCGGCTAGTTTTAGGCTGCAAGCTAAAGTGGACTTTGTTACGTGTGTGCACGCAGTTTTTTTTGCAACAAAACGTATTCAGAGTTGGTTGCATTATGTACTACATAAATAAACAGAACGCGTACTCATCTAGTGTTTACGAGGACGTAAAGCTAGCACACATGCGTTTCAAATTTAATTTCGCGCCGTGAGTTACCGTTCACGCTCTACGGGATCGAGTGTGTTCGCAAAAGGTTTTATTGTCATTTTTATAGGCTGAATAAATATCACGTTTGGCGCAGAAAATTACTTGTCATAGACAATGTGTAATAATTAGCTAGGCTTCCCGGTAATGGTTGTTTTAATTTGCATGCCCAGTACTATAACTATTACCAGTATCATATCTGAGCTTATTAATAATATATTCACTGCTGGGGCGCAGGGCTTTCCCCATGGATGGAATCGAATTGGTGGGAGTTAATAGATGAAAAGCTCGGGACAAAAAATGTGCAAGATTTTCGTTAAGATATTTCAGCATGTTGA